TGGGGAGGGGAGGAAAAGGAAAGGGAGATTGTAAGCCGCTCTGAGACTCCTTTGGGTAGTGAAGGGCGGGGTATAAATCCAATTGCTGCTTCTTCTCTTCTTCTTTGGCCCATTGAGGCCAGTATTGTCCATTCAGACTGGCAGCAGCTCTCCAGGTCTTAAGCAGGAGTCTTTCACATACTGCCAAATCCTGTAACTGGAGATAGCGGGGATTGAACCTGGGAGCCTCTGTATGCTAAGGAGATGCTCTGCCTCTGAGCCATGGACCTTTTCGTAAATGGCAGAAGAGGTGCTTCTATTAGGATGGGGACTGAAAACAGATCAGCCAGTATCATAATGCCCCTTGTATATATCGATGGTGCAGCCTCATTTGGAATACTGCGTACAGTTCTGGTCACTACATCTCTAAAAGGGTATTATAGCATTGGAAAAGATGCAGAAAGGGGCAACTAAGATGATTAACCGGATCGGACAGATGGAACACCTTCCCTATGAGGAAAGGTTAAAGAGGTTAGGGCTCTGTAGCTTGGAGAAACGAGGATTGAGGGGTGATGTGACAGAGACTTACAAAAACATGCGTGGGGTAGAGAAGGTAGAGAAAGAAGTGCTTTTCTCCCTTTCTCACAATACAAGAACCTGTGGGCACTCGATGAAATTAATAAGCAGTAGGCTTAGGCAGGGGTCATTTCGTAGAAACAGAGCTAGGGGAACTCATTAGCATAACTCATTAGCATATGCCACACCCCCTGACATCAGGGGCCCGGCGGTGGACCTGCAAGGCCGGCAGGAGTGCAAGGAAGCCCCACCAAGGCCTTCCCTGGCCCGAGGCAGGCAGGGGTGGGGAGAGGCGGGGAGGAAGCAACTTACCCTCCCTCTTCTCCTGCCTCCTCCTGGCTGAATGAGGGCTGGAAGCGGGGCGGCTGGAAGCAGGGGGCGGAGCTTCGTCATATGCCCCGCCCCCCTGCACCTCACCCGGGGGAACTGTGTTCTCCCGCGTTCCCCCCCCAAAATGACCTCTGGGCTTAGGACAGATAAAAGGAAGTAGTTCTTCACCTGGATATCTTCTTCAAAGCAAGATGGATGTGATCTACAGATCATACTCAGAATACATAAAGAAAAATAATCTGCCCGGTGAGGTGGTGGTTAGATTCTCCTGAAGACAAGTGAGGGATCAGATCCTGAAAGCAACAAATGGAACTACTCTGAAAGTCGACGGCAACGAGATAAGAGTTTTGAAAGGCATTCCCTTTGAAATAAGGGGGGGGAAAGTTAAATATACAGAGACCTGGCTTCGTTTCTACAAAAGAATAACATCCTTTACAAATGGATTTTACCAGAAGGCGTACTCTTCAAATTTAAAGATAAGAGGGGGGAAATTGACTCTGTAATGAAAGCACGGGAGTTCCTGCAGCAACAACTTGGACCAACAGGGGAAGACGATGAGGACAAGTGAAGCGACGATGAGATACCTACTGAAGAGGACTCGGATTCGGAACGTGGGGCGGCTGCCCCCCAAAAGGATATCGTTTGAGGGAAAGAAGAGGCAAAAAATGAGATGCTGAAGTTTTCTGAAGTTTGCTGTCTTTTCTCAATATCTAACTGTTCTTGTGTATTGCTCTTTACTAAGTCTGAACATCTGGACTCGAAGTCTATAAGCGATTTTAATAATCACTCTAAATGTAACAAAAACATTGACTCAAAGCTATATTGTAACCATTATATGACCACCACCTCTTGGGTTTTTAGGGGTTATCTTTACTTTCTCCACTAGTTTGTAGCTTCCCCCTCATTTCTTTGTAGTTTTAGAAAATAAAAAATGTTTAAAAAAGAAGAAGAAGAAGGGATTGGATAAACATATGGAGCAGAGATCCATCGGTGGCTTTTAGCCACAAGGTATATATGGAACACTCTTTCTGGGGCAGTGATGCTCTGCATTCTTGGTGCTTGCGGGGCCACAGTGGGAGGGCTTCTGGAGTTCTGGTCCCATCAGTGGACCTCCGGATGGCACCTGGGGTTTGGCCACTGTGTGATAACTCAGAGTGTTGGACTGGATGGGCCACTGGCCTGACCGAACCTGGCTTTTCTTATGGTCTTAAGAACAAAAACAAAAACCACAAACCCCAAATCTCTCCTCCCCTCTCCCCCTTAAAAAAACACCTGCCAATTCACACCCCCTGCCCAAAAGCCTGCCCAACAGGCAGTCCCTCCTGAAGATCTTTGAGAGGGGTGTTGCCCGCTTCAGGGAGCGCATTCCACAGACCGGAGCCAAACAGACTGAGCTCTGGTCAGTGCCAGCTGGACCACTCTAAGGGGTAGGAGAGCCAACAGACTGCTGTCTGATGACCGCAGTGATCAATTAGCCACGATAACGAAATGGAACGACCAAGGCCCGGAACAGTCAAACTCTGAATCACCAGAGGCCGGTAAAACCAATCCAGTGAGGTAGCTGCGTTTGTGTATAGTGCCAAAACAACACAGAAGTCCGGCGGAATCTATTCTAGAATGAGCCTGGGAGCTGCTGGTGCCGGAAACAGGCCTCTGGACTAGATTTGCTCTGACCCAACAAGACACACACTAGGCCCATCGAGGTCTACCAGCAACAAACTCTTCAACGGCAGCCACTTTGTAGAAAGGCAGTCTGTTTCTCAATTAACAGCTCCTGTTACATCCCCACCGAAGTGGTCCCTATTTATCTACTTGCAATTTCTTGCTTTTGAACTGCTAGGTTGGCAGGAGCTGGAACCAGAGACGGGAGCTCACTCCGTCATGCGGCACACTCGGGTCCCGAACTGCTGAACTACCGACCTTCCACAGCCTGCAGTTCAGCGTCTTAACCACCTGAGCCACTGCAGCTCCTCTTTACCTTTACCTTTTACTGGGCCCATAGTGGACAACCATGGCCTTCCATGCCTGGCTTGTGGGCTTCCAAAAGGTCTGGCTGTCCCCCATCAGAAGCAGGCTACTGGGGCAAATGAGCATACGGTCTAATTTCAGCCGCAGCTAGATTTAGGGATATGGTAGGCAGCTAGATTTAGGGATATGGTAGGTGGGGCTTCATAATATAAGAAGCTCCTTTCAGAGGGTTACCAGGTCTCCCCTGGACACCGGTGGGGAATGGGGGGCGTAGGGTTGCCAGACCCAGTTGGGGAAACTCCAGGAGATTTGGGGGTGGAGCTTGGGGAGAACAGGGACCTCAGTGGGGTACAGTGCCACAGAGTCCACCCTCCTTTCTCCCGGGGAACTGATCTCTGCCGTCTGGAGATTTATTTATTTATTAAGTTGGATTTACTAGGCCACCCTTCCCTACAAGACGGCCCAGGGTGGCTTACAACCGTATGCAAAATCTCAATCAAAACTCAGCGAAAACAAGCCAATAAATATCAATAGATAAAACAGTACAGGGATCATTTCGTAGAAAAAGAGCTAGGGGAACTCATTAGCATAACTCATTAGCATATGCCACACCCCCTGACATCAGGGGGCCCGGCGGTGGACCCGCAAGGCCAGCGGGAGTGCGAGGAAGCCCCGCCAAGGCCCTCCCTGGCCCCAGGCAGGCAGGGGTGGGGAGAGGCGGGGAGGAAGCAACTTACCCTCCCTCTTCTCCTGCCTCCTCCTGGCTGAATGAGGGCTGGAAGCGGGGCTGCCGGAAGCAGGGGGCGGGGCTTCGTCATGTGCCCCACCCCCCTGCACCTCACCCGGGGGAACTGCGTTCCCCCCCGAAATGACCTCTGAAACAGTACATATACAATATATAAAATGGGTTGTAATTCTGGGGTATCCCCACCTGGAGGCTGGCCTCCCTGTGGCCTTCCATCTCTGTATGAATGTAAAAAATAAAGAAATCGTATTTATATATTCAGTGCCATCTCTGTAACAATAAAGCACGTTCTGGTGTTTAAAACCTCTTCTGTCAAACAGCCAGTGTGGTGTACTGGTTAAGATTGCCAAGACGAGGATCTGGAAGACCCAGGTTTGAATCTCCCGCTTGTGTCAGGGAAGCTGGCCGGGTGACCTTGGGCCAGTCACATCCACCCAGCCAAACCTACCTCACAGGGCTGTTGTGAGGGTGAAACAGAGGAGAGGAGAATGAAGTAAGCTGAGGGAATGGTGGGGTAGGAATGAATGAATGAATGAATGAATGAATGAATGGAATATCTGGGTCTCGGATCCAGGGAAGCCATTCGGAACGGCCCTGATACCTTTTTAATAGCACCACAGAATACAGAGCTGGCGTATTTTTTATTCTAAAAGAAACACACCTGCACACCCCCTCTGGATGCACAAAATTCCTGGAGCAGGTGACACACCCTTCCCCAAGGCTGGGCTTTGGAGATGAATTTCTCACCGCAGGGGATAATTTGTGGATATATATATGAGGCCACACACACCACTGCAGCTTTCTTGCACGCTCATGCGCGTGCACACAAACACACACACACCTGCACCAACCGTGGTTTCAAGCGCGTTTGTGCAAGTAGACGGACACAGGCTGCTTTACACAACCTCCCCCCCCCTCCCCAAGAGACGCAGCAGAGCTTCATTTCTTTCTGCAACGGGACTCCCGTCTAGGGAGGCGGGGGGGGGGCACCTGCCCAAAGCGAGAGCCGGAGAAGACCCACATCGGCCTTTGCAGAAGTGGGAACCAGACATCCAGCCGCGCCGTCCTCCCATTGCAACGATTCCCAAGGCAAGACTGCAGCCGGCACAAAATGGGAGTCCCCCCCCCCTTATGCTCTCCGAGGCAGAGAAGATGGACGCCCTTGTAATCTTCGCAGCCTCTGCTGCCGGAGGGGGGGGCGAGAAGAAGGAAAACAAGATACCCCCCCCGACGCAAAAGACCCCCCCGCGCAACCTCCGACGCTCGCAAGCGACAGGCAGCCGGCGCTGCCGCAATGCATGCGATGCAAAAGCGGGCGGTTAGAGGTCCACACACACCACACACCCCGCCGCGGCCCGGGCATGGCGTCCTCCTCCTCCTCCTCCTCCTCCCGCCCCCCTACCTTGGCGGCCGCGCCGGGCGGCTGGAGGCTCTGCGCGCAGCGCGCCTGGCAGGCGGAGATGTCGCCCAGCTGCGCCGCGAAGGGGTCGCCGTCGGGCGGCGGAGAGGCGCAAGTCAGGGCCAGGCCGAGGGCCAGCCAGGGCAGAGCGGGGCGGCCGCCGCCGGCCATCCTGCCAGGCAGGGAGGGAGGGAAGGGAAGGGGCTCCGGCTGGGCCTCGGCGCCGCCCGGGGGCTGCGGCAAGAGGGAGAGGACGGGAGCCGCCGATGGCGGTGGAGGGAGGAAGGAAGGAAGGAAGGAAGGAGGCGGAGAGGCGTCGGGGGCGCGTCAGGCGAGCAGGCGGCCGGGGTGGGAGGGGAGGAGAGAGGTGCCGGGGCTCAAGCACTGCCCCCTATAGATGGAGGGCGGCGGCGGCCAAGCCGGGCCGGGCTACACCGAGAGGTGCCGGGGCTCAGGATGGACGGACAGCCGCAGCCGAGCCCGGAGCGGCTACGCAGAGAGATGCCTGGGACGAGAAGTGCCGGGGCGCAGGGAAGAGGCAGGCGGCTAGGAGGGGCTAGAGACGGGGGGAGGGCGACTGGGGCTCACGGGAGATGGAGCCGAGCGAGGAGGGGCTAAACAAAGAGGCTCTGGGGCTCAGAGGGGGTGGTTGGAGCCGAGCGAGGAATGGCTGGCTACGGAGGGAGGGAGGGAGGGAGAGGCTGGGGAAAGAGGGCTCAAGGAAGACGTGGGCAAGGTGGGAGCTGCTACAGAGAGAGAGAGATCCTGGGGAAAGAGGTACTGGGGCTCAGGGAACTTGGAGCCAAGCTAGGAATGGGGGGGAAGAGAGAGAGGAAAGAAAGAAAGAAAGAAAGAAAGAAAGAAAGAAAGAAATCCTGGGACAAGAGAGCCAGGCTAAGAGCAGTAGCTAGGCAAAGAGGTTCTGGGGTTTAAGGAAGATGTAAGCAAGCTAAGAGCGGCTACGGAGAGATGCTGGGGCAAGAGGTGCTGGGGCTCAGGGAACATGGAGCCAGGCTAGGAGGAGTGGCTACACAAAGAGGTGCTGGGGCTCAAGGAAGATGTAAGCAAGCTAGGAGTGGCTACTGATTGAGATGCTGGGTCAAGAGGTGCTGGGGCTCAGGGAACTTGGAGCCAAGCTAGGAGGGTAAACAAAGAGGCTCTGGGGCTCAAGGAAGATGTAGCCGAGCTAGGAGTGGCTACTGATTGAGATGCTGGGGCAAGAGGTGCTGGGGCTCAAGGAAGATGTAAGCAAGCTAGGAGTGGCTACTGATTGAGATGCTGGGTCAAGAGGTGCTGGGGCTCAGGGAACTTGGAGCCAAGCTAGGAGGGGCATGGAGGGGGGGGGGGGAGAGAGAGAGAGAGAGAGAGAGAGAGAGAGAGAGAGAGAGAGAGAGAGAAAAATATATCCTGGGACAAGAGGTGCTGGCTTTCAGGGAACATGGAGCCAGGCTAAGAGCAGTAGCTAGGCAAAGAGGTTCTGGGGTTTAAGGAAGATGTAAGCGAGCTAAGAGCGGCTACAGAGAGATGCTGGGCAAAGAGGTGCTGGGGCTCAGGGAACATGGAGCCAGGCTAAGAGCAGTAGCTAGGCAAAGAGGTTCTGGGGTTTAAGGAAGATGTAAGCGAGCTAAGAGCGGCTACAGAGAGATGCTGGGCAAAGAGGTGCTGGGGCTCAGGGAAGATGGAGCCAAGCTAGGAGTGGCTACAGAGAGAGGGAGAGAGATATGCTGGGGCAAGAGGTGTTGGGCTTCAGGGAAGATGGAGCCAGTCTAGGAATGGCTAAGAAGAGAGGTGCTGGGGGGGGGGAGGAAAGAGGTGGTGGGATGCAGGGGTTGCCAACCTCTTGCTAAGGCCTGGAGATCTACTGGAATTACTACTGATCTTCAGATGACAGAGATCAGTTCCCCTGGAGAAAATGGCTGCTTTGGAGGGTGGGCTCTGTGGGGTCACATCCCTGCTAAGTGCGGTCCCCTCCCCAAATCCTGCCCTCTCCAGGTGCCATCTCTCCAGTCTCCGGGAATGTCCTGCCCTGGAGCTGGCAACCCTGGGCTCAGGCAGTCTAGGAATGGGAGGAGCCAGCTAGATTGGCTTCTTCGGATACATTGAAATGGAAGTTACCCGTCCAAACATGTAGGCGGAGGAATAAGCTTGTTATTCCAGAACGGTCCTTGCATCTGTCAAGCACTGTTTATTGGGCTTCAGCTAATTTGCTGCTCACCCTCCGTCTATATGTATGGACCGGTAACTTCCACTTCAATGTATCTGAAGAAGTGTGTGTGCAGCACACGAAAGCTGACACCCAGAATTAAACCTTGTTGGTGACTCCAGCTTCATTCTGCTGCTTCAGACCCAACACGATTGCCCACCAGTGTTCCCTCTAAACAGAGGTAGTGTGAGCTAGCTCACTGTTCGTTAGCCTCTGGCTCACACCTTTTTGCCTTTGCTCAGGAAGGAGGGCTCCAGAGCAAAGTCATTGATGCAGCAGCCAAATTACCTGCTCACCACTTGAATGCCGGTCGCTCACAAAGTACCATTTTTGCTCACAAGACTCCACAGCTCAGAGGGAGCATTGCTACCCACCTGAATTGATCAAGTCTCCCTGTTCTACTCCAGACCAACACGGCCACCCTCTGAAACTGTCTCAATGGGAGGAGATGCTCCCAGAGGAAAAGGCTGCATGGGAGATCCGGAATGGGTCGGAAGAAGTCATTGCCAGAATTTGGGCTTTGCGCACCTCCGCTGAACACAGCGGACAACTTGGGAGGGCTTGTGAAAAACAACTGGCACTCCTTCCGATATTCTATTACACTTTGCCTTGAAAAGTGTGTGTGTGTGGACAGAATTTGGCAACCTGCATAGATTTATTTTGTTTGAATGATAGAAGAAGAAGAGGAGGAGGAGGAGGAGGAGATTGGATTTATACCCCGCCCTTCGAGTCTCAGAGCTTACAAACTCCTTTCCCCCCCCCCCACAACAGACACCCTGTGAAGTAGGAAGGCCAGAGAGAGCTCTGACAGAAACTGCTCTTTTTCAAGAACAGCTGTGTCAGAACTATGGCTTGACCAAGGTCTTCCAGCAGCTGCGAGTGGCTCCCAAAGTCTTGGAGAACAGGTCAACCAATGGCTGCTAACCATGAGGACAAATGGAACCTCCATTTTCAGAGGCAGTATACCCCAGGATGCCAATGACCAGGGGTAGGTGGGGCTGAGAGAGCTCTGAGAGAACTGACCTTGAGGGAACAGCTCTGACAGAACTATGGCTTGCCCAAGGTCATCCAGCAGCTGCAAGTGGAGGAGTGGGGAATCAAACCCGGTTCTCCCAGATTAGAGTCCGTGCATTTAACCACTACACCAAACTGGCTCTCTGAGATACACTGTTAGATACAGTGAGATACACTGGATGTGTATTTCACACTTCCTAACACCATTTGAGTCCAGTGGCACACGTAAGTTCAACAAAGTTTGATTCTGGGTATAAGCTTTCATGTGCCTGCACACGAAAGCTTATATCCAGAATTAAACTTTGTTGGTCTTAAAGGTGTCACTGGACTCAAACTTTGTTTTTTTGCTTCCGACCAACATAGCTACCCACTTGAATCTATTCCCTAACAACCAAGGACATGTGAGGTTTTGCAAAGGCAAAACACTCCTACGATGAGGGACTCTCCATACCAGTGATGAGATAGGTTGTGGGGCTAAAGGGGTCAAATTGCATTGATAAATATATATCTGGCGGGGGGGGGGAAAGGCAAAACACTCCTCCGAAGCTACCCACTTGAATCTATTCCCTAACAACCAAGGACATGTGAGGTTTTGCAAAGGCAAAACACTCCTACGATGAGGGACTCTCCATACCAGTGATGAGATAGGTTGTGGGGCTAAAGGGGTCAAATTGCATTGATAAATATATATCTGGCGGGGGGGGGGAGGGAACCCTTCTGAAAACAGCCACCTTTGCCCCCATCTCCAAAGGGACACCCCGAAAGAGCTAATTCCCTTTGGCATCATAACTTGCCAGCAAAAAATTACGTATCTCTGTTTAGGAGGCAAAGGAGCTTTGCTAGGCACTGAAGTTTGGTGTCGTGGTTAAGTGCGCGGACTCTAATCTGGGAGAACCGGGTTGGATTCCCCACTCCTCCACTTGCACCTGCTGGATGATCTTGGGCAAGCCGTAGTTCTGATAAGAGCTGTTCTTGAAAAAGAGCCGTTTCTGTCAGAGCTCTCTCAGCCCCACAGGGCGTCTGTGGTGGGGAGGGGAAGGGAAAGGAGTTTGTAAGCCGCTCTGAGACTCCATTGAGTAGTGAAGGGCAGGGTATAAATCCAATCTCCTCTTCTTCTTCTCCCCAGTCCGCTGATCCCCCTTTTATTTATGTAGGCAATTTGGGCTTCACCTTTCTACGCCAATACCAAATAGAAACACTCTCAAAACAATTTAAGAATACACTTGGCCTGTAGAGATTTCGCCACACGGCACTCACACTTTCATTTAAAGCTTACTTCCTCAGACGTGAGAACTAGAAAGTCAGTTAAAAAAAAAAAAAGATTTGTTAGGAGGATGCCAAATTCTGCAGCCACAACCAAATCTTGTGGTTATCTATTTGTGCAAAGTCCGTGGAGCGAGTGCTTGGGTTGTTGGCACACTGGAAGGATTGCGCACAAGGATATTAGAGGGAGAGAGAATTTGTTTGCAGGCGTTTAAGAGTCACGGTGCTGAAGCAGACCTCTTGGAAACCCACGTGAGCACCATCTGTCGATGTCTGGGTCGACGACGATCGGGAACACTGTGTGTTGCTTACGTCGCGCTCGACACAGTTGCCGAAATTTAGCGATGGAGGCATGAAACAACTTGGAACCGTGTAATTCAATTCTCGCTCTTCCAAAACGGGGAATCCTGAAATCATACCCTTTCCTGAATTCAGCACGGACAGGCACCTGCTTGGCTGCCATAGCCAGGAATGTCTCAGCCGTTTTGAGGGATGCGAATGGCTTTTCCCCAATTGGCCCCCGATGATGTCACTCCCATGGCAAAGGAAGGCGCAAGGTGCGCTGGCTTCGATTGGCCGCCCATGATGTCATGACCCCCCCCCTTTCTGGTCCAACCTCTCCCTTTCTTCACCAGGCCCAAGATGGGTTTACATTCTGGGGGCGCCTCATCCATCTTCGGAGGTGGTGAAAGCAGGCCAGAGTGGTATAATCGCCCAGGAATGTGTGGGACTCTCTCTGCTCCAACAACAACCATCTGTTCAGTGTTTGCCAACGGTCTTTACGCCA